AATTAATATAAACCACTGAAATAAATAGCAAATTTGAAATGGAACAGAACCATGGTTTTACAAATATATATATATATATATATATATATATATATATATATATATATATATATATATATATATATATATATATATGCACATATTTGTCCTGTTCATGGATTGATGCAGGATTTGATCCTATTACTATTTACAGCTGAGAATCTGCTCTTTACCCAAGAGATAATGGTCGTAACAATCAGATAATCACTAAGGATTATCACTAAGCCCTCCTGGCTATATGTCACTGACATCGAAAACTTGAAATTACTCAAAGAAACTGAGGGGAGAGGGACCTAAAAACCTGCTGGCATCTATTTGCCCAAATATGTTTTGCTGTGGTTTCGAGATGACATCCCTCATACTTTGCAAGAGGAAAAATCCAGATTGTCTTTATCTAAATGGAGCACAGCAGTTGCCTCTAATTAGCCTCCTAATTGGCTACTTGTGGGGCTCACTGGATTGATGGCTCATTGGCTGCAGTGCCCTGTAGCTTTTCATCCAGAGAAGCCATGGGAGCCACTTCCACGGCCTGCTCTGCTTGCTGAGAAAACTCCTCCTGGGTCTGAACCTGTGCACAGAGAGCTGGGTGCATTAATCCTTTTACTGAGACTAAAGTAAAAGTCAATGGTGTGAAAATTATCTAAATGCAACATTATTCCCCTTTGACACTGATTTTCAGTTAGTTGGTTTTCATTGGTATTTCATGGGAAGAATATTCCTATTGATAGTCTCACATAGTACAAGAGGAAATTGCCAGAAACAGACAAGGTTAAAGAGACTGGAGATATGGCTCAGTCAGGAAAGTGTTTGCCACACAAGCATGGCAATCTGAGTTCTGATACCCAACACCCGTAAGGACCCAGGCACAGAGGTGTGTAATCCCTACACTAAGGAGACAGACTGAAATGAGACAGCCCCTGGTCCCTAGGGCTCACAGCCCAGCTAGTCTAGCTTGATTGCTGAGCCACAAATTCAGTAAGAGAATCCCATCTCAAAAAACAAGGAGAGTGATTGAGGAAGATACCTAACATTGACTCTGCACACACACACACACACACACACACACACACACACACACACATACACACACACACACATCTGTACACATACACACACACACATCTGTACACATACACACACACACACATCTGTACACATACACATGAACATGTACACACAAAAGAAATTTAAAAATACATATCATGTGAATTCCATAGTGCTTTTCAAGTGTTTTGACACAGGAGCTCACTCTAGCCCAGGCTGGCCTCAAACTCATTCTATAGTTAAGGTTGGTCTTAAACTCGATACAAAATCCAACCTGGCCTCAAACTTGGCAATCCTGCTTCAGCCTCCTGTATGCTAGGATTACAGGCACACAGCACCATGTCTAGCTCATATTCTTGTAACATAATTTATCTTTCTTGCCTTTCTGTTTGAAGGAGAATAATTCACTACACTCAGATTGTCTTAGATACTGTAGACAGTAATTGTGTACTGCATACCTCAAAAAACTTGAAGGATTTTGAATGTTTTGCCACTAAGAAATGAGAAAGGTATAATTTCTCACCCAAGTACACAATATGAACACATATTGAAACATTGCAGTTTCTCATTAATACATGCACTCTTACGGTTGTATATCAGTTAAAAATTAACTCATTTTTAAAGAATATACTAACAAACATTGAAAAGCAAGCATGCATAGTGTACTGTGACTAGTGTGGCTTGGAAAGTGGAAGAAAAATAAAGAATTACACATGTAATTCATGTGTGATTCAATCAGCTTATACATTCATGGTTACAGGCCTGGTGAACTAAAACAGTGAGCATTCATTGTTGAAAGCATCCATCGTGCATTCCCACAAGCTGTCTCCACATGTACAGTTGAACTAGGAAGGAATGGCTGGTCCGGTGTGATGGAGCTTAAATTTAGCAGTGGAAGGGAATTTACAATGAGGTTTAAATGCAGACATGAAGTATTCAGCAAATACAAAAATAGGATTCCTGTGGATCGCTAGATCAGAAGTGAGCTTGCTGGAAGATTAAAAACTGGAGCTTGTCTGGGAGCTCAGGTGAGCCCATGGTTGTTGTACATCTGCTGTGCTGGGCTGGACTGGCTGGGCCTGGTGAATAGGCAACACAAAGGATAGGGGCTCTTAACCAGCAAGGGCAAGAGATGGGTATTTAAGCTTCTGATGCAAAGCCAGAATGGCTACGAGAAAGAAGGAAAATAAAAGAGAAATGGCAATGGAGGTCCGTAGGAGAAATGAAAATGGAGGGCAGGAAGTTGGGTGTAGCAGGAATCTTAAAAGGTCTTATTAATAAAATCAAACCTGAGGCCAGTTATTTGGGTGAATGCTGGAAGATCAGAGAAGCAGAACAAGCCACAGCTACCTCACTTCGTCAGTTCCTCAGCTGATCCTGTTTCCTCAGACTGGAAGCTTCTGTGTCCTCATCCCAATGGCTCTCAGCTGAACTGCTGCTCAAAAGCCTGAAAGCTTAACCAGCCAAAAGCTTCTAGTTTCTGGTCTTCACGCCTTATATATCTTTCTGCCTTCTACCATCGCTCCCTGGGATTAAAGGCGTGAGTCACCATGCTTGGCTGTATCCTTGAACACACAGAGATCCAGATGGATATCTGCCTCTGGAATGCTAGGATTAAAGACGTGTGCTACCACTGCCTAACCTCTATGTTTAATATTGTGGCTGTTCTGTCCCTGACCCCAGATAAGTTTATTAGGGTGCACAATATTTTGGGGAACACAATACCACCACAGTTGGGCATGTCAGGTGTGTCAGAGAAGGCTTTAAGAGTGGGTGTTAAACAGATCCTACGGTGAAAACAGCCAAGGCACCAAGAGATGCTGGGACACAAGGAAGTGATACCCAAAGACACCTTAGGGCAAGTGTCTCTGGGATTCAGGATTCCTCATTGACTACAAGGGGGCCACCCAGCAGGGCAGGCAAAGAAGAGAAAAGGCCACCACAGGAAGACAGGAGACATTATGGGTAAAGAGATGCCTGCTAAGCTGTCTGTTAAATATGAGTGGAAAGGCAAGGGGCAGGAGAGTGGCCCCAGGGAGTAGCCTGGTGGACACAGAGACTGCCAGGAGGCACAGTCTCCCCAGGACTGTGGGAACTCACTTATAACCTATCTGATTGGCTGCAGGTCTGATCATTTCTACAGTGAGTCAGAAACAGGCAAAGGACAGCAGTGGGGTTGAGCAGAGTTTACTAGAGTCTGTGTGTAGATTCTCCAGCCCTGTGCCCTCCAGAAGCAGGACACACAGTGTCTGTGGTTACAGTGAGGGAAAACAGAACCCCAGGAAACTAGATGCTCATCAAGGAGGAGCCTGGTTGTATCTGAAATCACAGCAACACAATGATACTTCAGTTGTGTTTTATCTTCTATGATGCAAACACTATTGACAATTATGCTGTCCTATTTTCCATCATTGAGACATAATCCTGGTGTTGCTTATTGGTGGCATTCATCTCATCAATGCAGAACATTCTGATAAAATTTTCCTAGACAGCCATTATGGCCTGGGCATGTCATCCCAGTGTTTAGGAGAAGGGGGCAGGATGAATGCAATGAACCTAGCCACTAAAAAAACAAAAACTAAAAACCTAATCTATACCATTCCTGGGTTTATACCTGAGGGACCCTGAGGCAACATACCATAGAAACACCTGCACATCCATGCTTATTGCCATACTAGTCATTATAAATTACAGAGTCAGCCTCCTCGTCTGCTAATGAATGGATAAAGAAAATGTGATATATAGAGAGAGTTGTATTTGGTAATAACAAAATTATGTGTTTAGCCTTATCCTAGTTACATTTTCTGTTGCTATGATAAAACATTGACCAAAAACAACTTGAAAAAGAAAGGCTTTATTTCAGCTTACAGGCTGGATGCCATCATCAAGGGGAAGCCAAAGCAGAACTCAAGTCTGAACTTGAAGGCAGGCACTGAAGCAGAGGCCATGCAGGAATGCTGTGTACTGGCTTGCTCCCCTTGCTTGCTCAGACACCTTTCATGTACACTCCAGGACTACCTGCCCAGGGGTGGTACTGCCCACAGTGGACTGGGCTCTCCTACTCAGTCATCCCTCAAGACAGTGTCCCACAGGCTTGCCTACAGGCCAATCTGACGGAGGCATTTCCTCAGTGAGAATCCTTTCCCCAGATGACTCTAGCTTGTGTGAAGTTGACAGAAAACCAAGCAGCAGAGTACACACTGACCTGCTTGCACACACAGGTCACCTCACTCTCGTGTGCGTTGGAGCCCCTCAGTCTCACACACACACACACACACACACACACACACACACACACACACACACAGCCTCTGCCAGGGTCCTGCCTGATTCTCCATCCCTTCTTTTCTCTTTCTGTGTGGAGCATGTTGATGTGTGAAGCAATCTCATCTGCCTACTTCTAAAGATTCTCTGTGGAAACCTGCTAGAGTGTAGGCATTTTGAGAGCAACGATTCTTCCAGCTTCATGCTACATCCGTGGCACACACAAGACTGACTGATCACCGACTGAGGGTTCAGATTCTTGGTTACACCCTTAGGTTATTAACTATCAGCAAATTCTTATCAAAATTGAATTGAAGCCCACCAAAGTTACTTTACAGATCTAGAAGTGTAAAATGCCATGAGATATTGTCTTTGTTATCTTAATACCAATTGTCATTTTAGTGCTGCGAGGACATCTGGAGCCTTATAGGAATTAGTACTGCCAATGCTTCTTCACTTTCAGCCCGATCTGTCTCCCTAGCCAGCTGGTCATCGACAGCACACGTGAGGACAGCTCAGCCATGAGTCCTCTCAGATCCAGTAAGAAGGATCACTCTGCTTTGTCCTTCAACAACTTCATTTACTTGAAGAAGGAAAGTGGTTAAAGTCAACCTCTAGAAATGTTATTTTGTGAGAGAAAGAGTTGCAGGAAGTCAAAAGGGATGCTCTTTATTTGTAACAAAGGCATGCACACAGAAGATTTATGCAAATTGAACTACTTGCTGAATTATCGACGCCACACAAAATACCCCAACAGATTTGTCCCTGAACATTTACATAGATTCCTAATACACTAGGGTATAAAAATCAAAAAGTTTAGTTGGACTCAGCAAACCCACCTCCTGCTTTGAGCTCAGCATTAAGAGCTACACACAGCACAGTTTTGATTTCCCAGCAAGCCTTAGGTAGGAGTCTACAGCAGAAGTAAACTGTGCTGAGACCTGTGGGAGAACACTGTTCAATTCACTGAGAGTTCTTTACAGTGCCCTCTAGTGAAAGGCATGGGGTAGTGCACTTTACAGAGAGCTGTAGAGACTGGATTATCATTCGGCATGAGTCTGGAAGTAAGCATGCATACTCAAAATACTATAGTCATAGCATGGAAAGTTTCAAAGGGAAGTTCAGTTTCAAAATTGGAAAATGAAAAAGTTTATAATTTAATTGAGGTGATATTAAGAAACCACAGGCTTGCCCAGCCATGTTCGGCTGGAGGATTTTCTCTTCATTCTTCATGCTCACCCATGTATGATAGGATCCTACCATTAGATGTTTCAAGTTTGACAAGATGGTCTCTGTTATTGTGATTTTAGAAAGTATTTCTCACAGACACTTGGAAATGTTGAAACAAAAACGTTGGATACAGGCCATGCTCGTCTAAATAGGCAGAAAATAGAATTTTCCCGGGTATGCCACTTAATCCTTCACCTCTATTCCGCAGCAGCACAGCTCACGGAGGATTCACAGTAATGTCCTCTCTCTGAACAGGAGCTACCCCTGGCCTTGCTGAACATGCTGGAAGGGGATCCAGAGTTCAGCTGCTGGAGAATTCTATGCCTCCTTTTATTAATATTTCTCTACTCTCACCAAACACAATGATAACTTAAGTCTCTCACGGGGGCCACTTTTGACACGTTCTTGAAGTATGTGTTTCTCATGGAAAGAAGTCCCTGCTTTCCACATCCATAAAGAATATTTACATGTTCTCTGGGCGCCTCATGGCAGAGGATGGGGATCAGCTTTATTTCCCATCCACATTCTCATACTCCTTCAGGCATCTGCCCACATCGCTGTGTCTCATCTTCTCTGTGAAAACTTCGTCAAAGACTCGCTTCTGCTTCGGAGTGAAGTAGTTGATCCAGTCACCCACCACTCCTAGAAACACGTGAAATCTATCAGGCAAGAAGCAGCCTAAACCACGGCACTCTCAGGAAATCTACCAGCTGTGCGATCACATGGAGCAGTGGCTTTCTCCCGGCGAGAAGATGATGGGGACTGTTTTTCACTTGCTCATTTGGTGTTTCTAATTATTACTGTGGTAGCTGTCTGTTAATTTCTACAGTTCATAATTACTTATTTAAAGAACGATTTACAATATACAAACATATATTTCCTGGAGTAGTCAAGAACATCTAGTCCAACTGTAACAAAATCGTAAGTGAGGCAGTGTGAGCACAGTGATATTCACCCCCGGGTGCGTGCACAGTGGAAGTTGAGTTGGGAATCACTATAGAGATGGAGAGCTCACCTTATTTCCAGAAACCTTTTCCTATAAAACTAACAATGGAGAACTGGGCACATAAACACCAGTTTTCCATACAAGACATTTGATGATAAGTATACACAGTCTGCTAGCCTCTCTTAATTTGAAACATCACATTTCTCAACCCCTCAGAACTGACTTTCTCACTTCCATTATGCTCCCCTCATCCTTGGGGGCTCAGGTTCCATTCCTGGGGTCTCCGTGTCTTAGGGCCAATGGCACATTATTTTACCCCTACCCTGTTTTCTGTGCTCTTTTGTTTCCAGTTAGCTTGCAAACCCTTGCTAGCAGGGGACTATAATGCATTCTTTATGTGTAACCAAGAGCTAGGCATCTTACATCATGTGTTAAGAAAACATACACCTGGATTGAGTACTGGACAATGTCATCTACAGAAAAAAAATGTATTATATTCTAGGAATGGCTTCTTTCTCACATTTTGTATATTTTATTAAAAAACACTGATATATATATATATATATATATATATATATATATATATATATATTTTAGGCAGGGTCAAGTTACGTAGTTTTGGTTGGCTTAGAACACACATATTATGTGGATCAGGCTGGCCTCAAATCTGCCTACCTCTGCCTCTAGAGTGCTAGGATTAAAGATGTGAGCAATCATGCCCAGCCCATTTGAAAATTAATATACTGAGATTATATTAAGATACACATCATGAATCTGAACTCAGAAAACTATGGCCTGTGGAATAAAACTTGCTCACCATTTGTGTTTTGGGTTTTGTTATTGTTGCTGCTGGTGTTTTAAAGATGTATTATTTTACGTGTATAAGTGTTCTACATCAGTGGGTGTGTCCAGTAGGTGCTAGTCTTCACGTTTACATCCCACACAAGGAAAACACACATGGTGGGACTCACATGCTGTTAGTTAGTTACAGGTAGTGGTGGTGGGGTTTCACCTGAGGATGTTTGCCAGGGTTACAACTGTGGTAGGTTGGGGGATGGGGCGGTTAACCACCACTGGAGAGTCTCACATGTTTATGGGGTGAGATTTGAGAACAGTGATTGCTTTGTTAACAGGACTCCTAAAGGGTGAGGTAATAAAACACATCACTGTGAGGCCTCAGAGCTCCCTCCTTTCTCACTGGCATTTACACAACCTCTCACAATCTTTCCCTTCTTCTCTTTGCTCCTTGCTTATACACACCCTCCTCTAAGCTCTGCGGTCTCCTCTTCGTCTCCTCTCCAGAATCCCCCCTAACCTTTCCCAGTCCTGCCTCTCTATGACTACCATGCTGTCTTCCTCCTCTGCATTTTCACAGCTCAAGCAGAGTGGCCTTTACCTCTCTTTTTCTCTTGTCAAGCCTTCCCTTCTTCACCACTGTGGGAACTGCTCAGGGCTCATGAACAACTGACAGGTCTCCCCCTGCGTGGCTCCGGCTTTCTGCCTGATTCTGGCCCATGTCTTTTCTTGGCTCCCTTTGGGCTGCTTCATTCTCGTGGGTATTAAGGTCCCCTGAGAGCCATCTTCTGTCACTTGTGCCACAGCTCTTGGCTCTCCCGGATGACTCTGCCTCATCCCACAACCTGCTGATGGCTCCCCGGCTGACTTCTGGATTAACCCACACAAGCAGGACTTCTGTCACTGTCCCAGGGGTGACCCACACGTTTCTCACCTAAACAGTTTATCAGCATCTTGCTTAGCTCTTCTGCCTTACTTCCATGCTCTCCTAATCGTGGTTCTACCTGCCTCTACCACTTTATAGCACACTGGCCTGCTTCTGTGGTTCCTTCTTCAGCCAGAACAAAAGAGGTTGGGGAGAGAAAAGGAGAAGATGGCGGGGGGGGGGGGGGGGGGGGGGACAGGGGAGGGGAGGAGAGGGAAGGAAGGGGGAGAGAGGGGAGGAGAGAGAAGGAAGGGGAGGAGAGGGGAGGGGAGAGGAGGAAAAGAGGACAGGGCTTCTCATGAAGTTTAAGCTCTGTGGCACCACTGTCTTCTCATCTCCACAACCCGCTTCACACATATTCCATGTAGCACAGCAGCCCCTTTTATCTTCTAGCACGGACCATGCGATTCAGCTGTGGTTCTGACCCCCTCTCTGCCATTGACTCTCCCCAGAAAGCATTCCCCTCCCATCATTTTCATAACCATTTCTCAAACTTTCAATCCCAGATCTACGGGGACCTCCCCTCCTTTACAGGAGAAATATGATCCTGCCCCCACACTCTCGACCCACAGTTGTTACGGAATATTCCTTTACATTATGTGAAGATGCGTCATTGTGATTGGTTTAATAAAGAGTTGAGTGGCCAATAGCTAGGCAGGAAGGGATTAGGTGGGACTTCTGGGGACAGAGAGGACTTGGAGAGGAAGAAAGGCAGAGTCACTAGCCAGACAAAGAGGAAGCAGGATGAGAAGTACAGAGTAAAAGTAATCAGGCCACATAAAAGTACATAGATTAATAGATATGGGTTAATTTATAAGAACTAGTTAGGAACAAGCCTAAGCTATAGGCCGAGACTTCATAATTAATAATAAATCTTCATGTGGTTATTTGTGAGCTGGCTGGTGGGACAGAGAAAGACTCTCAACACAGTCCTAGTCACAGCTGCTCATGCTATTAGCATTGTGCATTTCTGTGTAGAATATGAATGTCTGGAGAACAGATGCTGTGTTTTACTCAATATTTGTGTATTAGTTCCAAAATTAATAGCTTATTAATATATACTGAGTTGAATGCTTAGCTCCTTTCTAAGCCTTGGTTTTGTGACTCTGCATAAATAAGACTAAGTTACAACAATAGAAAAGTTAAGATAATATTCATTTTACACATGAGTTAGCAAATATTTGCTGGGGGGTGGTTTATATTCAGTCGGGCCAAAAAGGGGGAATAAACATTTGCTTTTTAGTAAGAATCATGCACAAATATATACATATAAAACATTTTGCCTTTACAAGTCATAAAACATTTTTCCTATATCTGGATAAAAATTTACACACTTCAAAACAGTTCTAGAGGCTGCAGAGGTTGCTTAGAGGTTAACAGCACCAGCTACTCTCACAGATAACCTGGGTTCAGTTCCCAGTACCCACAACCAACTGTTTAACTCCACTTTTAGGGGATCCAATGTCCCCTCTGGCCTCCTTGGGCACCGAACCCACATAGTACAGATACACATGCAGACAGAACATTCTTACACATAAATCTTTTTTTTTTTAATTCTACATTCAGAAATTCCTTACTTGCTTCTAATTCAAACCTGGAGAATTATTGGGGGAGAGGATTTAATTCCTTTCCTTATATTTCTGTGTACATAAGCAATGGGGGGTCCATTATGAAGAAATGGGGAATACAAAGCTCAGTGAGAGCTTTAAACACAATCGCGTCATCCTTCTGTACACAGAGGAGATTGGTTCCAGAATAATCCTTCTGTACACTGTGAAAATGTGTTACTCTCATTGTTAATAAAATTGGCCGATAGCTAGGCAGGATTTCAGGGCAGAGAGAACACTGGGAAGGAGAAGGGCAGAGTCTGAGGGACCACCAGTCAGACACAGAGGAAGCAGGAGATGAGCATGCTGTACTGAGAAAAAGTACTGCCACATGGCCAAGGATAGATTTAAAAAATGGGTTAATTTAAAATGTAAGAGTTAGCTAGTAACAAGCCTGAGCTAGCAGCTGAGCATTTATGATTAATAAATAGTCTCTGAGTGGTTATGTGGGAGCCAGCTACTGGGACACAAAGAAACTCTGCCTATACCAGAATTCTCTGTCACCAACATTCTGAGATGCACATTGCTTATATAAAGTGGCATCTAACCTCTACTTATATAAAACCTGTACATAACCTATGAAATCCTCCCATTGCCATGAAGCATCTCTACATTATTAACTACAATCTCAACTCCACACACATAGTAGCTACTTGCTATTATTTAGGAATCAATGAAAATCAAAGTCTACACATACTCAGTATGGTACCAATTATTTTCTTTCAAGTATTTTCAATCTTCATGGCCAACTCCCGGATGAGGAAAGAAGCTGTAGAAAGAGAGAGCCTAGTACACTCTCCAGTGGGAGCTCAGATGCAGGCATCTCCTCCCCACTTACCTTTTCTGAACACCAGGTTCCTGTTGGATGTGAGGGCACAGATGGTGTGATTGGGATCACTGTTTTCTTTAACTGCATTGCTTTTCATTTCACTGAACGATGTGTTCCGAGCGATCTGACTCATTTCACTGTCATTCACACTGATGCCAAGGAAAGCAGTTATTTTCTTTAGGCTCTTAGCAAAATCCTGAGCAATAAGAAAATTAAGGAAAGTAAGTATGCCTCTTATCTGAATACTAAATTCATTCCTTCAAATTTGAAAGCAAAACTCATCCACTGTTTGGTTTTGGCAGGATTTTACTATGTCATCTCAGTTGTCCTGGATCTCACTCTGTAGACCAGGCTGGCCTCAAACTCACAGAGATCCACGTGCTTCTGTCCTCAAACTCACAGAGATCCACGTGCTTCTGTCTCCTGAGTGCTGGGATTAAAGGAGTGCACCACCACACTCGGTTTTCATGCCCCAACTTTTAACTTAATTTGGTTTCAGCAAAGGCTGATGGAGAAGACTTACATTCTTCATTTCTTCATAGAATAGGAAGAGGACGTTTTTATCATTTTTGTGTTTTTCCCAGCTCAAAACATGATCAAACCAGGAACCATATACAACTGTAAGAGAAGTACATTATGATGTTACTGGTTACAAGGATGGCTTCACCCCACATCTGGCTTCTTCCAGCTTCAGCAAAGTGGTCAGCCAGAGCACTTGCTCATTAGTCTGGAGTGAGACTGTCCAGAAGAGATCATTTCACTGTTATTTCACCCGGGTGTATGAGATGCTGGTGACCACATCATCTCACAATACCCTGCGTATTTTATTTTCTTATTTCTAGTAAATATTTTTTATCACCATGAAAAGTAGCAACAAAATAAAAACATACGTTTTTCTCAAAATTTATATTCTGAACTTTTTAAGCTTCTCTAAGGAAACATAAAGTATCAGTCATTTTCTTTCTTTAAGTGACATTCAGAATTCCAGGTTTTTCATCACAAACATTTTTAAACTTTTCTCTTGAGCCATGGTCTTACGGTGTAGCCAGGGGTAGTTCTGAGGCTCATGTTTGTCCTCCTGCCTCAGTCTCTCAAGTGCTGAGATTATAACCATGAGCTATCACACCCAGTTTTAAAACTCATTTTTTTTGTTTGTTTGTTTTTTTTTTGGTTTTTCGAGACAGGGTTTCTCTGTGTAGCTTTGAGCCTTTCCTGGAACTCACTCGGTAGTCCAGGCTGGCCTCGAACTCACAGAGATCCGCCTGGCTCTGCCTCCCGAGTGCTGGGATTAAAGGCGTGCGCCACCACCGCCCGGCTAAAACTCATTTTTTTAAAGGCTCTTACAATGGTTATATATTTATTATCTAAAAATTTAAACTAAATTAAAAACGTAATAAATTTTAAAAATACTCTATTTAACTTATCTTAGTCTAAGACTGAACAATTCAGCCTTAGGAATTTATCTGCAATTGCTATTATTATTATCTCTTTATTTTGCTGTCAAATGATAGCCTTGAAAAGTTCTTCCGGCTCAAACGTACAATATCCTTCAGTGTAACCTTTTTAGCAGTGATGATGAGAAAGGAAACCTTGCTCTTGTCTCGGGGCATCTGCTCACTGGAACCTCGACACACAAAGCAGAGTAAGGTTAAATGACCCTTCCAGATGTCATTGTCCCCTAGATGCCAGCTCTGGCTTGTGTCTCAGTGTCAAAGGTGCTGGGTGGAAAACTCCTGCCATCTGCTCCCTCTTCACTCAGCAAACCAGAGTGAAGGCAGCCCCGAGTGCCTGCTAGTCACTGCATGGGATGGTTTGAACGTAAAAGTTTGGAATAAATTATATATAACATAATTACAATATAATTAACTCCTGAACTAACTGCAATTTTTGGTGATTTCAGATTTTGAGGAAACAAAATGCAAATAAATAATCCTATGCATACATATTTCTCTTTGTTAATTCATTCATTCTCACAATAATGAGTTTCATTGTGACATTTTCATACATGTACAGTATTATTATGTGCTATTTCTCTCTCTCTCTCTCTCTCTCTCTCTCTCTCTCTCTCACACACACACACACACACACACACACACACACACACACACACACATACACACACACACACACTGAAATCTAGATTCCACTTGTGAGAGAAAACACATGGTGTTTGTCTTTCTGAGTCAGACTTATTTTGTCATGTATTTTTAAACCAGGAGATTCTGGGAATGCTATGATGTCATTACAGAGTTGGCCTTCCACCCCAGACTCCCCCAGGTAAATAGAAAACTCCTCAAAGAGTTGCCTTGCCTTTCCTTATCAGTGCTTCAGTCTGTTTTGGAGTCTTATCCAAATCTTATCTCAGAATTGCCCAAATGACCACCGCGGCAGTAGAGGATTGCTTTTCTAAGAATGGCCACCTTTTTCCCAGACTCAAATACCTTTAGAAGGAAAACTGATTTTTCTCTCATACAGCCTTAAGGAAGGAAGGATAATGTCACACCAGAAGGGTCAATCTGCACCCTCTACCTCCTACCAGTACCTGCAGCCTAGGCCCTGTATGATGATGCCCCTGCCCACAGCTGTGGATGCTGCAAGAGGCCTTGGGACTGCCAGAGAAGCCTGTGTCCTGCAGCCAAGGTTCAAGCAGCCTCAGAGTCATGGCCACTGGTTAGATGTAATCAACCTCACCCATTAAGGCTCTTTCAGAAAGAAACGATCTGCCAACGTGCGACAAAGTGAGTTTAAAAATGAATTTCAGGGCTGCACTGACTGTAATTTGAAAGGCAGCTGTTCTATTCATCAGAGATGGATTTATATTCCATCTTTTTCCAAACGATCAGAGGCCAGCTGAAAGAATGGGGATGCTGTGCATGCCTTCCTGACTAGCACATGAAAGTATATTACTACTGTATGCAGAGGAATCCTTAAACTGCTCAGACTTTTCAAGTGACAAATTGAGTTAATTTTTAAATCACAAGCCTCATTTTTCAAGTTGTTAATAGAGCTTCACTGTAAAGAAAATTTAGCTTCTAAAATAAAGACAAACCCACCTTTGAGAGAAACCTCTTTTCTGCACATGTTTCATTTTTTACAGTCACCAGACCCTTTCTCCCCACTCTCAGCTTTAGTTTATGCCTGAATTACCCTCTTCCCCAGAATGCCCACGGGTAGAGCAGGCTCATGCTTGCCCAATCCATATGCCTGAGAAGTAAGTCAGAAACTTCACTTGCTAGAAACTTCCAGATCTCCCCCACCCCCCGTTCCTATAAAGTGCAGGTTTCTTTGAGATGTTATGTCCTTTGAATATTCCACATTTCCCTCCTGATCATAGTGTTCAATCAACCTGGTCTCTCAGCTGATGTCACTAAGGACACTGTCAGGCATCTGTGTCACCCCTGTCTTGCAGCAGCTGAAATGGCTTTAACAGACAGGTCCTACAGTTCTCTACTGGCCTTTGATTTCTTCTCTTTATTGGCTCATTCAACCACCTCCTTGGCAATGTTCCTCTGCTAACTCAATGCTTACTTCAATAAACTAAAGAAAAAGAAAAAAGTCACTCAGCAAAACACTTCATCCTCTTCCCTCTCTCTAGTTGCTGCTAGAGGACTTTGGACAGCTCTGTATATGGACTCCGGATATGTGCTTCCAACCTGTGACTCCAAGGCTCCCTACCCACCTGCATTACCTTCACACTCTACCCTCTGCACCAGCTGTTTCTGTCTTCGCCCTACACCAATTATAATGCAATGTCTTAGGTTCTAGTTTCTAGAAATCACCCTGAAAATATAGCCACTGTATTATATAAAGCAATACTTTCTGCAATGGAGGACTTATGAGATACACAACCCTAAGACAAAACTTGAGGGGGAACTAGAGGTATAAAAATGTGTTCAATGTTAAGGTATTAGTTTCATTGAGCTATTAATGTAGCCTGATATCACCAGAGCATAATTTATAGTTATTGTTTAACTTGACAGGCTACTACCTGGAAGATAAGCTAGATGATTATCTAAACGTCTATCTATACCACTCTACTTTTATGTAAGTAGGAGCTGAGTGTACACATGAAGACCAGCCCAGGATATCATATAGCACCTTCCTTATGAAATAAGCTCCTTGAATACACACCTGTCTCATGTGAAACTACTCGAAAGTCTCCCGTGTCTAGCAGAATAGCTGAGTGGACTTCTGCGATGGACTGTAGCCGTTACCTAAGTTGAACCTCTGAACAGTCCTGTAAGGTGTGCCTTTTTGTTAGTCTTGTTTTGTATGTGAAGGACAGATCTCAAAGTAGTCTGGGGACTTGTCCAAAGCCACACGGAATGAAGTGCAGACAAGATCTGGTGCCATGTCTTCCACCTCAGCCATCTATTCTTTCTACTATGTATCATGTATAGCAAAGCAAGGAACACTCTTCAGCATCCTTCAAACACCCCTTACAGGTCATAGGTGTGGCACACCCGTACACACACGCATCTGCGTTGCAGCACAAGCAATCTTTTGCTCTCCCTGCAGTTGTTTGGTGATGTTGATTGTTTTTTTCTGAGATGGTGCCAGGTAGCCTCTGCTGTCCTGGAACTTGCTATGTAGCCCAGGATCATTAAACTCCTAATCCCCCTGCATCAGCCTCTCAAGTGCTGGGATTGCATGCCTGTCCTCTAGCTTACAAATAACAGTAAAATCATTGCTCACATCCAAATAAACTTTTTTTTGAAGCTTTGGTGACAGGGCTTGTGCAGGATGGAGTACCCAGATGTGGGATGTTTATAGATAAGATCCCATTATGACTAAAGATCTATTCATTCACCCAAGGAAATGTAAGAGAAATGCCTGGAACGTTTTCCAACCATATTCTATCCTCCTCCCAGATAATCTGCTCTGATGGTCCATCCTCTGCCCTCCTCTCAGATAATCTGCTGTGATGGTATGACATTCACTGGGTGCAGATTCCCCAGCACCAGTTAGCCTTGCTCCACTATGGCCTGGCCTGGCACTTTTTAATGAGTTTGCCCAAAGAAAACTAACACGTAGAAGAGGAGCCGGGTTATACTGGTACTGCCCTGCCTTCCCCATACCTCACCTGGGTGTGTTCCCCTGCTGGGTACAGAGTTACGATAGGGACATGACCAGGTTGGAGCACAGGAAGCAGAGAGGAGGGGAAGCTATGTTGGGTAAATTGGGAATAACAACAACAAAATAGCATTTCCCATCTTGAGAAAAAGCAGACTCGGGGTCTGTTCTGAAAATAAAATTGTGTGTTTAGACTCTGCTTATTCCAAAGATGGACTCAAGGCAGAGAGAGGCATGCTAACCATCTTTAAATATTTAGAGGACGATCATGTGGAAGAAGAATTCATGAGCAGGTGACTTTAGACTATACACATTGTGGCACCATAGTAAGGAGAAAGATTTGGGAATAAAAATCAAATCTTGGCTCTTCTTTGTCATGTATCTGCGTGTGGGTTATTCGGCCTCCCAAGCCTGTCATTCCTTGGAGCTGTAAATGAGGATCATAGCACCGGAGGTTCCGGTGAGGGTGAAATAAGATAGAATTTACCTAGCACTGGGCTAAGCACTAATCTAAGCATCTCTGTCACGTGGAATGCACACGGTAGAAGGTAAGGAGGAAGCCATGTGTGGCTGTGTGGGGTTTATGAGCCTGGGTCCAGGGTTAGGATGTCCAAGCCATCACTGATCTCGGGAGGTTGTGGGAGTGACCCAAGACCTGTCAGTCTTGAGGCATCAGGCTTCTGCTAGAGGTGCGGCAGTTGTCAGGGGGGAAACTGTATCTGAGAGATGAGTTGAGATGGTAGAGTCTAGCACAGTCCTCTGCGGCTGCTGCAGGAGTCATGGCAGACCCCAGGGTAAGGTTACAGTTGCTGGGGCCTCACTGAAACTCACCGGCCAAAGGTGAACAATCTGCCGGCAAAGTTGTGAAATTAAAGACCTTCTGGATCCACTTACTGCTGGCAGTATGGCACAGAGCAGGATTCAGCAGATTAAAACAAGAGAACATGAAATTGGGAGGGGAAGTGGGTGGGGGGAGATAATGGGAAGAGATGGGGGAGAAGTAGGGGGCTGGATTTGACCTAACCACATTATTTACAGGTATGAAACTCTTAAACACTAAATTTTTTAAAACGCAAAAAATGATATGTATTAAATTCCTTAACCTAGGTTAAGTAACCCAGGACGGGGTAGGGGTGGGGAATTAAGAGAAAGTCAGATATTCCAGATTTTTAGACTGTCAATTTTTTGCAACTTATTCTTTAAGTAAAAGTTATTAATTAAATGTGTAACTGTAGAAAGCTTGCAGGAACCCAACCACCCCCCACCTTGCAAAGAGATTGAGTCCTCCAAGCCTTCATCATTTTAAACTCCTGTCTCCTAATTTCTTCACTATCTTGGCATACTATCTTTATTTAATATTTGTTAAGAATTAAGATTTTTTAAGGCGCCCAACACCACCGAGTCAGGGGAAAGGAACGAACTAAATGGTGGTGAAGGTGACAGAACCAATGTGCCCTGATGTGGGTTTGTCAAGGGTTTCACGATCAATTGCTTTCTGCTCCCTTTCATGAAATCAATTTGCTCACGAGTTGTTCATTGGTTTCTTTGGAGAATTTGTGTGTTCATATGTATTTTCTTTGTTCCTGTTCCAGGCTACCCACTGTCCTCCACTCAGTGGACAATTACTTCACAGAAAAACCTAGCGGTACATGAAAAAAAAAGTAAGTTCTTATAAAGAATTAATCTCTATTTTGAAGATATTATAACTCACACACAAATATGCTCCTCCCCAGAGGCCATAAAAATGACTGTGAAGTAATTAAGAATTTGTTTAGAAGAAACAAGGATCCTTTCTTCAGTGCATATGCAGAAGCAGACAGTCACAAGCCATCAAAGGTTTGGAACATGTTTTCATTTTGAGTGAGAAAGATCAATGTATATTATTATTTTTAAAAGGTAGTTGCCAGGGTTGGGAAATGGTTCAGGAGATATAAACACTTGCAGCACAAATACCAGGATCTGAGTTCAAATCCCAGTATCCAGGTTACAGGACAGCTGGGTGTGTCCAAGTGCAAGTTTATAACCTCAGCACAGCTGAGGTGGAGACCGAAGACCTCTATGGTTCGCTGTCTGCCAGCCCAGCTCCAAGTTCAGTGAGAGACCCTGCCTCAAGAAGACAAGGTGGGGGATTCGGAGGGCAGGAAGCCTAATATTCTCCTCAACTCTGCACTCCAATGTGCATGCACACATGCACACATCCTCTCGAACTCTCATAGGCACATGCCCACACACACACACATGCACACTCACATACACACATGCACACGCATGAACACACACAAGTAAATAAACACAATTTAAAAAGAAAAAGATGATGACTGTGATGTTTACCGTCTCCTTTGAGGAACAGCTCTAAAAACACAGCCCACGTTTCAGTGGACGGGAGGTTGGGGTTGTCTTTGTAGTAGTGGAACAGGGACACAGCTGTATCCTTCGGGTTTCTGACAACGTAGACAATCTGTTGAAACATGCAAACAGTTTATTCTAGGATGAAAATAACCACAACCCAAAGTATTTCCCAAAAGAAAGTTGTAGCTGAAACTTACCTATGCAAATTCTACCTTATTATTTTTTTAATAGCTGTAGTTGATGAGTAAACTGTCTTAGGTTTCTGTCTCTGGAAATCCAGTGTGCGCAAGAAGAATCAGCCATGATGAATGTGAATATTTCAGAGGTCCTAGAGGTGGCCTGGCTTTCTGTGTTTTTGGCCATCCCCCAGCAGACATGGTACTCACAGCCCAGTAGACAGCTTTCTAGGTCAACTTGCTAAGTGTGGTCTTGTCTTTTAGGGCCAGGCATGAGAAAACCCCTATTTATTGTCAGGCAAAATTACTTTTTGCCTATCTATCTATCACATGCCGCAAGATTTTTTCACAAACTATTATTTTTATAGGAAAAACTATAGGCTAGACCTTCCCTTTTTGACAATTTAATTCCTTGCACAGTAGAACATTTAAGATTCCCTTCCAGTATCTAAGAATACTACAACTGTAATTCAGACCATAAACATGTACTCAGTGTGTGCTGAGTATCAGGCAATACGCAATGATCTAGTTCTAAGGAACACAGCGATGAGCAAGATGGAAATGGTTGGAGCCCTCTCTCAGTGTAGGCTGAGGGAACAGACAATTTAATGTGCTCTTGACAATGAAGCAAGGTAGGAGGTCTGAGACAGGATTACAAAAGGAACAGGTGAGAAGCCCCCAGAAAGCACTAGAAGCATTTCTGATCATAGTCAACATTGCACAAGTTAAGAACGAGATGTTCTTGTGTTTCTAATTGACAATTGGGACAGACACCGTTTACCTAGATAAGACAGAATTTGCTGAGTCACTTTTAATACATTGCTATCTTTCAGTCGTGTGTTCATAGTCCAGATGTGTGGTCCACATGAATAGTGCCTGGTTCCTTGTTAATTGAGAGATTGTAAAGGTCGATGGGTTCAGGAAAGAAGAACCACCTTTACCCAGCCCCACCCATGATCCCCCCTCTAACTTACGTAACACCGAGCAACCTCACAGGCCTTGGGCCTTCTCTTCCAGTGCCAGGCTTCCAGAGCAGAACCACAGAAACCCAAGGCTAGCAAACTCACTTCTAAAACTCCATTGCATGGACAAAATGGGATAAAGTAGCAAAGGTTTAAGCCTCCACTGATCAGTTGAAAATAGTTGTTCAGGTAGAGAAGCGAGTCTCTGGAGAAGCCTTAATGTTATATGTCTGTGTTATCTACTCAGAAACATAATGAAACCCATTTGTCGTAGACGTTAGAGTCGACTGAGAAACCTGAAGAATTACTGAAGGAAGTTAGAGGCTATAAAAGAAAGACTGAGATACTCTGGGAGAGGAACGTTCACTCAAGCATCATGAGGGGCTAGACAGATGGCTTAGTGGTTAAGAGCTCTTACTCTTCTTCCAGATGTCCTGAGTTCAGTTCCCAGCACCCTCATTGGGCAGCTCACAACCACTTGTCATTCCAGATCTGGAGGAATTCAATGCCTTAGGTGTCCATGGACACCTGTGCTCATACACACACACATACACACACACACACACACACACACACACACACACACACACACACACAAATAATAAAATAAAATCAGTATTAAGCACCATAAAATGAGTTACAAAATATAAATTCCATGCCATGAATTTTTCTAGCAAAAGGGGAGGGAGAAAAAACAGATTAAGAAGATAATACAACTGTCTTCTGCCCTCCCAGCACACGCACCAGCTACACATGTGGTGTACAGACATACACACAAGCAAAACACCTATACACATAAAATAAATTTAAAAAAAAGAAACAACAGAAACTAAATGAAAGCAAAAGGAACATTTAGAGAGAAAAGCCAGCCCTGCATGGGCAGGGGAAGCTTGACTGGCTCACAGCCTTCAGGACTAACCTACAAGCCCATCCACGGAGGGTCGATAGTCAATTATATGCAGCATTGCATCATGAGCTGATAGGAACAAGATATTCAACTTGTGTTTCAGTGGACAGCCAGGGGCATGCAGCTGCCTTAGATAAGAGAGTATTTGCTGAGTCACGTAATACTATTCTATCTTCTGGAGACCAGAAGGGAGGGGAGAGACTTGGGTTCCATTAGGGTCATTCAGGAAGGGCAGTGCCTTGAGGCTGAACTGTCAATGTGCAGTTAAGAAGCACCTGTCCTGGCTTCAGGTTCTTTGCTTTTAAGTGGCCTGTGACCCCCTGTGTCATGTGTAGGGAACAAACACAAAACCTCCTGGCTGGTGGTGATTGCTTAAGAATGTCATTAGTTACTGGAGTCAGTTCTCCCTCTCACTACTGCTCTTCTTCTCCCTTCTCCCTCTTCCTCTCTTCCCCCGCCCTCTCTCTCTCTCTATATATATATATATATATACATACATATATGTATGTATGTATCAAGGTATGTGTGTGTATCTCCCCCCCCCTCTCTCTATATTTATATACACACACATATGTATGTATGTATCAGGCTATGTGTGTGTATCTCCCCCTCCCCCTCCCTCCCCTCATCCTCTTCCTTCGTCTCCTCTGTCTTCAATGTTGCTTCCATGTCTCCTCCCTTCCTCTCTGGGTTTTGATTTAATCCAGGCATTAAAGATGAGAGTCCTGTCTTTCTCTATCTGCCTGCCTCCCCTCTGTCTGTCTCAGAAACAGCCTGTTAGAAAGGAAAATGGTTCGTTGAGTTTTGAAAGTGTAATTGAGTTAAGCTTCCCCTGTCTGGCAGACTTCTGACCCTGATTGATGGTTTACTTTTGTTTATGGAGGAGTGGGAGCCTGCAGAGCTGTGGTTACCAAGTGACAGTCGAAGGAGAATCTTCTCTGTGCCTTCACGTGGGACAGGCCCCTAGGTTTTGTTTGTGTGGTTAGAAAATGGCTGGCATGGTTGGAAGAAGCTTCATTTCTGTGAACTCCATATGTGTCTTGTCTCTGATTTCCAAACATTATTCTTCTTCTGCTTTATTTCAGATCACAATGTTCCTTATGCACACACTTGTAAAAGATTACACTGAATGCTAATACCATACACTAGAAATTCCCTTCACTTGTTTGGCTATGTGAGTCTAGTGGCTTTTCCCCCTATGTAGATATGTTTTAACCAAACCGAGAATATTCGTTATGTGTGATCTAAAAGCATGGTTTCTTCATCCCTTTATTATACAAAAATCCCTTCATGAAAATGTAAATGGGAAAAGAAAACTGTGAAAATGGAAAATGTTCTTTTAAATTATAATTGGCTTTTAAAAATAATAACCTATGAGTTAATAATAATGGCTTGAGGAAACTGTCCTTTAGCATTTCTTGTTATAATAACTTTTCCTAGAAAAAGATAAAATAATTAAATATAAATGGCACTTGCTTTGCTGCCATCAAGTTCCATGAGAGGGCAAGAAACTAAAAACCCCAGGCCTGGAGAGACTGCGCAGTGGTTAGAGTTCTGGCTGCTCTCGAAGAGGACCTAGGTTCAATTCCCAGCACTCACATGATGGCTCACAACTGTCTGTAACTCCAGTTCTAGGAGATGCGATGCCTTCTTTGGGACTCCAAAGCCACGGCATGCACGTGGTGTACACATACACCTGAAGGCACTCACACAAATGCATAAAATGAAAAGAAAATGAATCTTTGAAGGGGAGGAAGAATTCATCATTCCCAAGGCTGCATGCCGAGAGCAGGACTTACCTTACATTGCTTCTGTTTAACGGTCACAGGAATCATTTCATAGCTTAGATGCGTTGGGATAACTCTTCTCTTAGGGACCATTTTTAGCTCTTTGAATTTAGAAACATCTCCCCACTCAATAGGAGATGTGAGAGTGATTCCAGCATTGGGAATGTTCTCAATGACTTCTGCCACCCAGTGGGTTCCTTCACACAAACAGAAGATGAAATGCAGCTTTAATTAAATGTTGCAGCTGCGGGAATGGATGTAGAACATGAGCACATGATGAAAGTGAAGCAAGCGTGACTGTAATCAGCAGTCATGACTGTGACGTCCCTGGAACCTGATGAAATGCTAACTTGTTTTGAGTTGAATCCTGTTACAAGAGTGAAAAGGTTTACATGGGGTGTGTGCTGATTCTCTGTCTTAAAATAATTTGTTATTACTCATTTCTAGACCTTTCAAATCACCAACTCACACACATGTTCTCTAATGTGATTCCCATAATCCCATGAGCCATTTCCTTTTATAGGCGATCTTCTACCTTCTCAACACCCTCTTACACAGTGAGTATCCATTTTCTGTCTCCCCATGGTACCCAGCCCCTTCCTTTGTTAGAATACACACCAGAATACAGTTATCATGGTGTTTGTGCATTTTCACCTCCCCATTTAACCATTGAAGATAGACACAGATCTCCCCGTGAACACACAACAGTATTTATGCAAACCAAATCTTTGAATCACAAATGTTTGTTACTCAGAGAGCTAAAAGGCTACTATCCTGGGATCTGGATAGAACACATGAGCTCTGTGTTGGTCTTTCTGAGGAGAGGTTGATGATGGTGAAGGTGTTGTTTTAAAACTGTATTTGTTATTACTGTATTTGTATATGATGCTGGGGAGTGAATGTCACAGAACGCACATGAAGGTCAGAGGACAACTGCATAGAGTTGGTTCTAAGACCTTTATCTGTGTTGCCTGGATCAAATTCAGATTGCCAGGTTTGCACACCAAGGGTTTTACCCATGGAGCAACCTTGTTAGCCAAGTGTTTTTGTGTTTGTTTATGATTCAGGGGGTTAAACTCTTGGTGCTTCATTCATGCTACACAAATGCTCTTCCATAGGACTTCCCACACCCACTTCATTCATGCTACACAAATGCTCTTCCATAGGACTTCCCACACCCACTTCATTCATGCTACACAAATGCTCTTGCACAAGATTTCTCACATCCACATGTCCAGCCAAGAATACAACTCTGCACTTTGGTGAAGCAAATAATGGCTATGTTTCAATTTTGCAGTAGAGAAATGAAAGCTTGCAGGAGGGAGTGGGGGCATTTGGCTAATTTGAAGGCTACATCCCTAAGGAGATTAAATCCGGCTAGTGCTAGTGTCCATTATTTCATTGTGATTTCAGTGAAGGGCAGTAGGCACAACTTTACAGCAGAGAAAATATTCAGAGTCTAAACAGTGCCCTGATTTGCTTTACAGGTTTTATGTTAAGTTTACTTTAGAAAGCTTTTTTTGTTTTGTTTTTTAGATTTATTTTATGAGTGTGAGTGTTTTACCTACAGGTATTTATGTGAATCTTGTGAGTTCCTGGTGTCTGCAGAGGTCAGAAGGGGGCATCAGAATCCCCAGAACTGGAGTTAGGAGGGGTGTGTGTGTGTGTGTGTGTGTGTGTGTGTGTGTGTGTGTGTGTGTGCGTGTTTTCAAAAAAACCCTCTGACTCATGTGCACTTTGTCACTTCCCACAGTGAGGGCCTCCTGCTCTAGTTGATGACTACAGTACACAATCAACTCAAAGGCAGCTCGGCTGCTAGCCGTTGAACTGGCTACTGGGTAGCTACCATCTCCATGTGACCACTATTCTGGAAATAATAGCAGGCAACTGGACATTACATAACAAAACAAAATTAGCACAGAACCAATTTCAATGATGGAGAGACTGGCATTACTTATAGTAGCTAATGTGTATACATATGTACAGTAGCCAATATGTATACAACTATGTAGGAATCAATTCTGAAGTAAAACTTTTTAGCAAGGAAAGTGTGGTTCTTCTTAGGGCAGATGAAAGAGTTATAAAGCATTAAGCATGAACTGAACAAAGGCTGTTTAGTCATCACAATGACTGGTGCAAGACACAATGGGAATTTGTATAAGCTATTTTTCTTACTACATATGGTATAGCAACACTTATGTATCTTCATAAATTGAACAAAAAGGAAAGCTTTACAGAACTTTAATTAGTTCACCAGAATCATTTAAAGTAACAAAATTTAAATCCTTAAAGATCATATTCCCCCCTTTGAAATAAAATTTCTGATAAAGGTATTATGGAAATGATTGTCCTGTTTGTTATTGTTACATTTCTGCATATTACAGTGCACTTTAGAAGAAACTCACCAGATTTTGGGTAGGAAACCAGAAATATGTCATCTTCTCTTGCATCAAAAGAATCCAAGGAATCAAGGAGTTCTTCTGAAGACATGGCAGAGAAGAGGATGCCCTTGTACTTGTGAAGGAGGCTTGGCTGACTCTGGGATGACATCTTCCACCTATTCTATTAGAGGTTGTATACTCCACACAGTCCCTACACAAGCCACAGACAATCCCAGCCCTCAGTCACAATTCCAGAAGAGTAATCTTGTTGTCTCTAAGCTAACATTCCATGTGTCTATATATACCTTTTGCAGTTCTTCACAGGAATAATTTTTAAACCATATCTGAGCCAATGTCTATTATAAAAATGGTGTTATCTGAATTTTTCTGATAACACATGTTACAAAACATTTCCTTCCACCCAGTTCGGGTTCATTTGCACAGAACACTACCAGGCAACCAAGAGTAATCACCGTGTTAAGATAGTAGCGCTAATCAAACCCTTGACCTAAACAGGTAAATTCTTTTAGCCACTTAATGAATTATATCACTGAAGAAATACTTAGGGAAATTAGATTTCTACTTATTAACACGGTGGTATAGGAGGCAGCCAGGATTTACAGTTGGAGGTGAAAGAGGACAGAGACAGGAGAAGCAAGAATGTTTCCAGGAATTGGCAGATACTCTTGCGACAATCTTTATGAGCTATAATTTAGAAGAGATCCAATGAGAGTCAGAATACTTATGGTAAAAAGAGATCTCTTGAGAAATATGCAAACAGGAGGCTGTAGAGAGAAGGAAGCTAATTCTTGTTCCAGTCACTTTTAGTCTTTGTCAATAATATTCCAACATTCCAGATTCAATGAAACATAGTAATGAAATGCCCAATTATTTCAGTGAACCACAGTTGAGTATTTGGCTTGTCTAACAATTGAAGGAACAATACACATCAATGAAGAAATATACAAACTTTTAATTGGGCATCAAAAATAGACATATACTGTAGGGGAAATATTTGAAGAAGAAAGATGTCTATGACAGTAACAGAAATGATTAATCATACACTTAGGCAATGACAAAGAATTTACTAATAGGTTAAACATGTGAACTGAGAAGAGCTGCTGGGTCGTGAGGTCAGCACATGAAATGAACCATATTCCTGCATTCTAAGAGAAAAAGCAACAGACAGCAGAGCTTGATGGTGGGGCTGTAGCTCAGTTGGTACAGTTGCCTAGCATGTGTGAAGCTCAGCAACATATAAATGACACATGGTGGTGCAGGCCTGTAATCTCAGCACCCAGCAGGATGTAGGAGGATTGGAAATTTAAGGTCCTTTTTCAAAATAAAAATATTGTTAGAATTAGTTTTTTAATAGTTAATTTTTGCATGCCCCCATTGACTCTCTTTTAAAATTATTTACTTTTACTTAATTAAAATATAATTACATAATTTCTCCCCTCCCTTTCCTCCTTTCTACCCTTCTCAAATTCCCCCTCCCTAATTCACACCCTCCTCGTCTTTACTATTAGATATACATATAAATGAATAACTATATAAAAACAACCTGCTGAGACCACTCAGTGTTACCTGCATGTATATGTTTCTGGGGATGACCATTTGGTATTAGATAATCAATCAATGGGGCTCACCCCTAGAAAATACTGATTTCCCCTATCTCAGCAGTTGTTAACTACTCATAGTTCTTTATCTAGGGGTAGGGCCCATGAGTTTCCCATCATACACTGGGGTATCAACTGATGTTAGAATTGTTCAGGTCTTGTTTAGGCAGCCATGCTGTTGAAATTTCATGGGTACAGTTTCCCTGTCATGACTAGAAGATACAATCTCACAGCAGACTTCCTAGTTCTTGGATCTTACAATCTTCTGCCCTCTCTTTCTTGATGGCCCCCGAACTTTGGGTGCAGGAGCTGTGCTGTTGATGTATTCACAGATGCTGGGCACCCCATGATCAGTTGTTCTCCCTATTTCGACCCGCTGTGGTTTTCTGTGATGGTCTCTATCTGCTGTGAACAGAAGCTCTTTGATGAAGGGGAAAGCCACGCTCATCTGTGGATAGAAGCACAAGTATTCAGAATACAGTCAGAAATTACGCTAGTAAGTAGTGGGTGGAGGTTCTCCTTTGAGAACCATGATCTCATTAGTCCTGGGTAGATGACTTAATTTCCAGTACTAGACATGATTTCCCTCCTGTAGAATGGGCGTTAAGTCCAATTAGTTGGTTGTGGTAAAGAGATAAGAGCTGCTCTTGCAGTTTAAGGGCTATTTCCCCATGCTGGACATCGCTGTGGCTCTTCCTCACTGCAGCTGGGGAGGACTGTTGATCGCTCTCCTCCTTTGGCAGCTTGCGTATCAGTTTCCAGTACTATGAAAGCTAGTCCTTAGGGAGGAGGGGTTCCTGACGGTTCCAGCTGAAGTTCTGAGTCCTGTGTCCACAGTACACGGAGTCTTCAGCAGCAGGGTCGTGCCTTCAACTTCTGGGAGACAACCAAGGGCCATAGCAATAATGTTTGGGGAGTCTCTTGAACGACCCTCATCAACAACTCCAAAGGAGGTTTCTCATGCCTGGTGCTGGGGTTTTTGTTAGATAATTAATGGCTCTTTGTGGGGAGCATTGTCAGTTCAAGTGATGTAACTTCGTTTAAAATATATAATGCATGTACCTATAATTGGGATTATACATAATTTTAGGATTCCCTATGTCTTTTTCAAGCACCATTAGTATAATTTATCCCTCCTCCCTCTTTTTCTGTATTGTCCTATCTCCTACCTCCCAAACTAAAGACACCTCTCTGGTTTCCCATTTCCTCTTCATATCACCTGTATCCTGCTATTCCACTCTCTAGAACTACCTTTGCCCCCCCAAGTCTGGTCCTTTATTCCTGGTTACAACAGTTACTCCAGATTATTTCCTTACATCTGAAGATTTGGAGTTAGAAACCACAGATGAGAGAGAAAATGTAGTACTTGTCTTTCTGGTAGACAGCAGTCAAAAATGTGTATTCAAGAATCTAAGAAAGTGCAAGGAAGTGAGCCACAGGCTGCTGCTTTCTACAGAGCCCCTTCCCCGCCCACTCAACAAGGACACTCCGTTACAGACAGTAAGGCTGAAAAGTGAGGGCCTCTGGGAAGGCAACCCTCTTCCGTTTCTCAGTTCCTCTAACCACTGAGGTGCCCTCTTCCCAAGCATGCCAAGTTGACAGCCAAGCTGACTATGACAGGAACTCGGGGAGATTCTAGGCCCAGCAGATGGTATATGAACTCTCACCGTGTTCTCATGAAGAAGAATAATTAAGAATAAAAAGTTGATTAAGTTAATTAATCAAATTGACCCTGTGTTGTGAGCATTGGATTCTTGAGTGAGGAATCAATCAATCTTCAGCCGAAGGTCACAAGACCTGATACCTGCAGAGAATGGTCTGGGATAAAGTTAAATGAAGGACATCAAGGTTAAGACAGATGTGAAAGTCTTTCACAATCAACATTTAGAAAAGCTGCCTTTACTCCTGGTGGCATGCTTTCCACTGTGATGACAAATGCCTGAGATAAGGGTTGATTTGGCTCAGGGTTTCATAGATTTCCAACCATGGCCAACGGGCTCTTTAGTCCTGTGGAGGCATAAGAAATCATGAAACGATGTGCAGTGAAGAAGGTCTCTTTGCCTCTTGTTAGCCAGGAAGCAACAAGAAAGAGAAGATAAGCCCAGCTTCCACTATCACCTTTGGGGGCATGCCCCCAGGGGCCTACCTTCCTGCTCCTGGGTCCCTGCTCTTCAGGGTCTGCCACCTACCAATAGCACTTCAGGCTAGTGTGGAACCATCCGCTGTGGGCAGACATTTTTCATCCTAACCATGGTGATTCCCAGAAGCTTTTGCCTTTCATTAATGATTTATTTGGCCTTCTCAAGCTTTTGCCTTCTTATGTTTCAAGAGAGAGAGAGAGAGAGAGAGAGAGAGAGAGAGAGAGAGAGAGATCAAGGGGCCCAGAAAGATGACTGAGAAGCTAAGAGTGCTTGCTGCTCTTTCAGAGGATCTAGGGTTCAGTTCTCAGAGCCCAGAGAGGTGGCTCACAACTGCCTGTAACTGATGCCCTCTTCTGCCCACCCCTATGCAAACAGAAATAACTACAAAGAACAAATGCCATCTGCTGCCTGCAGGACGATAACCTGGAGAGATAGGGACTGTGGGAAATGGGAGACTGTTTATTCTGTCTCCTTGGGACAATTAATGCTCCATAGTTTATTGCCTCATGGGAGCTGGGCTTGATATGAGAATATTTTAGGTTTGCAAAAAAAAAAAAAAAAAAAAACCCAAAATTCTGATTTTTAAATGAAAGCCCTTAATTATTTCACCAAATGGAGAATGGGTTTTTTTTTGTTTTTGTTCTTTCTTTTCAGTTTTTATTTTTAATTTTTTTATTTATACTTCTCTCATACATCACATCCTGACTGAAGCTTCCCCTCCCTCCCAGATTCCCTTTTCCCCAGATCCACCACACCTCTATTTTCTTTCAGTAAAGAACTGGCTTCCCAGGGATATCAACAGAGCATAGCACAGCAAGATGCAATAAGACCAGGCACAAACCCTCTTATCAAGGCTGGATGAGGCAACCCAATAGGAGGAAAAGGGTCCCAAGAACAGGCAAAACAGTCAGAGATACCTCCACTCCCACTGCTAGGAGTCCTAACAAAACACCAAGCTAACAACCACAGCATGTATGCAGAGGACCTAGAGTAGACCCATGCAGGCTCCATGATCGCCACATCGGTCTCTGTGAGCTCCCATGAGGGAGGTTTGTTGATTCTGTGGGCCATACTTTCATGGTGTCTTTGGCTCCTACAATCCTTCCCCCATCTCTTCTATAGGATTCCCCTGGCTCTGCCTGGTATTTGTGTAGGTCTCTGCATCTGCTCCTGTTAGTTGCTAGATGAAGCCTCTCTGATAAAAATTGGGCTAGGCACCAATCTATGAATTAGCAGAATATCCTTAGGAATCCTTGACTTTTTATTCCTTTCTTCCTTCCTTTCTTTTTTGGTCAGTTATGTTTGATTCTGCCCTACGTCTCTGAACATAACAGCTTCAATTCCTGGCCATCCAGGCAGTGTCAGGCATGGGCTCCCTCTCATGGGTTTAAATTCGACCACTCATTGGTTGGCCACTCTCACAAGCTCTGAGCCACCATTGCTCCTGCACATCTTACAGGCCGGACAGGTGTGGGTCAAAGGTTTTGCGGCTGGTGACTGGGCGCCTTGACCGTTACAGAGGATGGCCAGCTCAGGTTCCATACGGAAGAGAACAGTTTTGAAGCCGAAGAAGCTAAAGAGATGACCACGACTAGACCACTGTCCTTGGAGTTTTCTCACAGAGGCATGGCTTCAGTGAGGACCTGACTTCAGGAAATTATCTGGGGAATCTGTGGCAGGACCTGAGTGTTCTGCTGGAACTCTCCAGCTCACTCCTGCTTGGTCTGGAAAGCCCATTTCTCTGTCTTCAAACTCCTCCCTCTCAGAGAATCTCCAACAAAGAAAGGCCACCAAAAAGACCAGTTCTGCACTCTTGGCGGCTGCAGCAGCTCCTCCCCTGAAGTTGCCAGGGGCCCAAGTCTCCACCTAAAACATACCATACTTGGGCACAAACCCAGCTTATGGAGGACATCATCACCCCTCACCTACAGGGTATTTAAGTTCCCTGCTATAGTTCAGGCATGTGACCTCTCCTGTCTCTTCACCCTCCTCTATCTCTGGGGGCTGGAGAACTCACCCAGGAGTTGCTTTGCTCAAAATAAACATGTTCTTTTACCTTTTCAATTTGGCTTGATCTGGCTTACTGTGTCAGCGGAGAAACCTACTATTGAGTTACAAGAAACCTATTATCTTGGTGCCAAACCTGGGAAGAGCTGAGCCTTCCTGCCAGGTGGACTGGGTCCTCCTGCCACACGGCGAGCCACTCCTCTCCCCTTATCTTTCTCTCCACCAGAGGTGATTGACTTTTGACTCAGGGTAAGTCACCCATTTCCCAGCCACAGCCTAAAAGAGGTTCTGGGTACCTCTTCCAGGTCAAGACTCCTTCTGGGTCAGAGACCCTTGGGATCCCCTGCCAAGCCATGACCGCACCAGGGCAAGCCTGACCAATTTCTGGAGCCAAGACGGTCTTTGTTTTAGGGGACCTTTGCGGAGGAGATGTCCTACCCAAAGCCTACTAACCCCACCACCACCATTCAACCTGAAGCTATCGTGGGGGATGCCTTGCCCTAGTCTTCGGTCTCTGGCACAGGCTTGGAAATGGGCAACCCTGGGTCTGAACCCGATCCGCAGTCACCCCTGGGGTGTCTGCTACAAAATTTATCCAAATTGGGGCTGTCTGACACCATAGGACAAATGGTTTGAGCTCCCTTATCCAGGATTTCTGAGCTCTGCACTCCCACCCCTCCCTCTGTAGCCAGTGCTCGATGGCCCAGGTTTTGTTGGCTGGGGTTGTGGAGGCTCAGGTGCCTTTTCACCCAGGGACTGACCCTGAGCCCTGCACCCTGACTGGGCTGCCTGAGTCACTGGAACCCCCACCTCTCTTCTTCCTCTTGTCTCGTCCCTGTTCTGTCTGTCTGTCTACCTGCCTCTCTTGTGTCTCCACTCTGAGATGCCTTTCGCTCTTTTACTCTCCCCATTCCCCAATAAACCTCTTGCACTAACTCTGTTGGTAGTGATGTGCTCTCTTAGAGGCATACCTTGGCAGGCCATTGAAAGGTACCCACTTTGCCTTTTTTACTCATTAGGTTTTCCTGGTGTTTGGTCTGGCTGTGCTGGGATCCTACCCACGCGCTCCAATTGCACCAGATCCAATCTCCCTGTTTGTTTCTGTCTGCTCTTTCACCCTACCGTGCTGGAGTCCTACCTGCTCTACCCACCTTGATTCAGCGTCCCCAGTGGGAGCCGTGGTCCTGGTCACCCATTTCATTTCTCAGACATCACCAGATATTAGAAAGAAATTTTAAAAAGCTGAGGATGGTCCCCAAACCCCCATACAGGAATTGATGAAAATGGCTTTTAAGGTTTTTAATGCCCAAGAGGAGGCAGCTGAGTCTTCCCAACAGGCTCAGCTGTAAACAAAAGGCTATGCTCCAAGCTCATGCCTTGGCAGCTGCCCTGAGGCCATCAGCATCACCTCAAGGGGAACAAGGAAAGTTCACAAGGCTCCATCCTCCCAGAGCTTGCCAAAGTCAACTCTGCCAGAGGCCTGCTTCAAATGCAGGCAGAAAGGCCCCTGGTCCTGACTTCCCCAACCCTTGGCTGCCAACACGACCATGCCCTGTCTGCTGGCAGCCTAGCCATTGGAAGTCGGAGTGCTCAAATGCTGGCTCATTCTCTATGCCACGCCTCGGAGGTCCAGTTCCACCAGCACAGGCGTCTGAGACTTTCCTGCCTTCGAGCTCCTCAGCCTGGTGGAAGACTGATGCAGCCTAGACTTGGTGACTCCATCACCCCCTCGCTGCGACTAGGGTAATGCTCCAGGTAGCAGGTAAATCCATCACCTTACTGGTGGGCATAGGAGCTACCTTTTCTGTCTTGACCTCTCACTCAGGTCTCACAGTTCCCTCACCAATTTCTGTCATAGGGGTGGATGGGACCCCCTCCTTTCTACTTAAGACCCTGCCTCTTCCCTGCATTCTTGCAGGGCAATTCTTCTCACACTCACACATAGTCATACCCATTTGTTGGGTACCTTTACTTGGTGGTGATATCCTCAGCTGCTTTGGGGTCACCCTCTCCTTGGTCCCCACACTCTCTTCTGACTCCCATCTTCTTCTTCCCTTAATTGCCTCACAGGTCCCCACCCCAGACTGCCCTGTCCTTCTGGATCCAGTCGACCCCAAGTATAGGATATCTCCACCCCGGTGGTTGCTACTCACCACCAGCCAGTCCGAGTTCGCCTTAAACACCACTCCTCCTTGCCTTCCAGACCCCAGTTTCCTATTTCTGAAACCCATCTCTGAGGCCTCAAACCCATTATCACCTGCCTGCTATCTCAGGGACTGTTAATCCCTATGGACTTACCCTGCAACCCTCCCATTCTCCCCCTGAGTAAGTCCTCCAGTGCTTACCGCTTAGTTCAAGACCTCAGCCTCATTAATGAGGCAGTTATCCTGACCAACCCAGTGGACACCAACCTTTGCACCCTTCTTTCTAATGTTCTTCCTACAACTTCCCACTTTACCATCATGGATCTAAAAGATGCCTTTTTCACTGTCTCTCCACACCCTGACTCCTATTTTCTCTTTGCCTTCACCTGGGAGGACCCTGATATATGGACCACCAGACAGCTCACATGGACTGTTCTCCCTTAGGATTTTGGGATAGCTTCCATTGCTTTGGCCAAGCCTTGGCCCAGGATCTTTCCACCTTTGACCCAGTCCCAGCACACTTCTCCAGTATGTTGACGACCTCCTGCTTTGTAGTCCCTCCCTGACTCTGTCCCAACGGGGCTCCTGAACTACCTCCGCTCCCTGGGATACTGTGTTCCCCACTGTGGTATATTTGGGTGTTCAACTCAGCTCAGGGTCTAAGGCCCTCACCTCTGACCAAGTCTGAGCCCCACAGGATTTACAGCCTCCAATGATGGGGGACCAGAGTCTCTCCTTTTGGGGCCTGATGGAATTCTTCTGTCACTGGATCCCTAACTTTGCCATCACGGCCAAGCCCCTGCACCAGGCAGCCAGAGAGACCCCCACAGGGCCCCTCACCTACTCGGCCACTGTCCGCCGCCACTTCTCTTTACTGCAGGAGGCCCTCCTAATGGTGCTCACCCTAGCTCTTCCCAACTCCACCTGACCCTACCACCTCTACACAGATGACAAGGTGGGGGTGACCACCGGGGTTCTAGCCCAGCTGGTTGGGCCTTCGAATCGGGCTGTTGTTTTTCTGTCCAAATAACTAGACCCCACTGTGTGTGGATGGCAGCCATATTTGAGTGCCCTAGCAGCAGCAGCCAAACTCACCTAGGAGGCTCTCGAGATCACCCTGCTTCAGCCAGTCACTGTATGCTCCACCACTGCCTCTCCTGCCTTCTGAGTCCCTCTTCTTTTCCTCCTTGATCCCTCACGGGTGCAGGACTTTCATTTGCTGTTACTAGAAAACCCTCAAATTACCTTGGCCTCCAGCTCTGCCCTAAACCCCGCAACCCTCTTTCCTATCCCTTCCTCCTCTGATGACCCCCTCACTCCTGCCCAGAGACT